GTGTGCTGTACACCAGAAACTGGTAATTGACTGTAAAAGGAAGAAAGGAAGGAAGGAAGGAAGGAAGGAAGGGAGGGAGGGAGGGAGGGAGGAAATGAATGCATGCATGCATGCTGGCTAAACAGCTACCTGTTAGCCTGCTCCCAGCTCAGAGACTGAATTCCGGTCACATAACCAAATTACATCCTGGGGCACAAAGGGGCGGGAGGACGAAAGACCACCACTTTCCTATCCCCGAGGCGGCCCGCCCTCCAACACACACAGAGTTGAGAGAGCCAGGGCCCAGCTCAGATCAACTTGTTTCCGGGGGAAGGGCCCTGATGCATCTCCTGACTTCGAGCTCGGCTTTCCTCCGCCCGCCCTGGGCCCTGGTTACCACGTGAGGCCCTCTGCACCAGCCCTGGTGGAGCCAGACGTGGTTTCGCGAACCCAGTATCTGAATGATGCGGGGGGAGGAGGACTGTCCGAGCTCGCTCGTAGGGCTACCCTCCAAAGGCTTTCTGGAGAGAAGGGGCGGGGTGACGCGTGGGCGTGGGGACACGCCTCCAGCAGCTGCACCAGGCTGCCACCCTCCAGCCTCTCCTCAGCTTCCTATCCTGCGCCCACCCCTCGCCCTCGTCTCGGGGCAAACTTTCTGCACCGAGTGGACAGACCCACAATGGGAGGAAGAGAGGAGACACCAGGAACGGCCCGGGAGTGATGAGGGGAGGAGAGCGCGGGGGACACCGAGAGACGCGAGAATGGGAAAGAGAGCAGGCAGTGGCGGCCCCGCGGGGGTCTCGGGGCCCCCGGGCCCCCTCCTCAGCCCTCTTCAAGCCAACCCGGGTAAACACAGACGCCCTGCCAGGCCAGCGCAGCTGCTGGACACAGCCCTCGGCGCCGCTCCAACCAGTCACAGCTAAGCCCCTCCTTTCGAGAAACTCTAAGGCCGCCCCTGGAAGTGGCGGGGAGGACGGCCTGGAGGAGCACGCTCGGCAGTGATGGAGCCCAGCGGCCCGGGGGAGGCCAGCATGGAAGGCGCGGCGGGCGACCCATACCAGCGACCCGCGCGACGCACGCAGTGGCTGCTGAGCGCCCTGGCGCACCACTACGGGCTGGACCGCGGCGTGGAGAACGAGATCGTGGTGCTGGCCACCGGCCTGGACCAGTATCTGCAGGAGGTCTTCCACCACCTTGACTGCCGCGGC